CGATCTTCAAGGGAGGCTTACACTAGGAATGCCGTAACCATAAAGGAATCAGGCTGGTCTCCATCGTCTCCAAATTACTTGTCTGTGTCATCCTGACTGACTGACACTGGTGAAGAGCAAGTCGGGTTTCGTGAAGGTCGGTCCGTACCGATCACATCACCTTGCGTCAGTTGTTGGAGCCCACCGTTGTCGTGTTCCTCGATATCAAAGGTGCATTCGATTCGGTGTTTAGACGTGCACTTTGGAACTGTCTACTCAGGAAAGGTGTACCTGAGAAATATGTAAATATTATCCGAGTATTATACGCGCGTAGCACGGGCAGAGTGAGGGCTTACGGCAAGCTGTCGTCGCCCTTTAATATCTCCAGCGGTATGAGACAAGGATGCCCGCTATCACCTTGCCTCTTCAACTTCGCTATTGACGAAGTCATGGAAATCGCGTTCACAGGACACGACTTGGAAGGTGTGGATCTGCTCCCAGGAGAACGACTTCTTGACAACATTCCCTTCGTCTGTGACAGCTCCCAAGCGTGCCAAGCGGCACTAGACAGATTAGCAGCGGCTGTCAAGCGCTTCGGGTTTTGCTTTGCAACCCCATAGCGCAAAGTTTTCTTTAAAGCTTGACAAGGACCGCCCCCTGCGATTACCCTTGGTAGGGACCTGCTAGAAGTCGTCCAAAAATTCAACTACCTGGGAAGTTGTATCAGCGCCGTTGGAATTGAAGACGAGGTCACGAACCGTATAGCAAAAGTTCGAGGCGATTTAGCTAACCTTCGCCACCTATGCCGTTGGCGCGACACCACTCCCTCCCTAAAGTGTGGAGTGCACAATGTAGCCGTATGTTCGACCCTATTGTACGGTTGTGAGACCTGGATCATTAGATCGGCAGACGTAAAGAGGCTAGTTACGTTCGACCACCGGTGCCTTCGTAGTTTGGCTCACATCTTGTGAGAACACCGTTTGTGCAATGAGCGTGTTCGGCGCTTTGTCTATGACATAGGAAGAGGAAGTGAACCGCTCAGCACCGTTATATCACGCACCAAGATTCGATGGCTGGGCTACATGTTGCGCATGTCAGCCAACCGATGGTCGCATCGTGCGTTGTTTACACACTGTGGGTGTGGATGGAGGAAGAGAAGAAGAGGGCAAGCGACGACATGGTCAAGGTTGATGAAGGCCCTTAGTTCCAAGTTGGCCTCGGTTGGAGCCTCTCGGATCCCTGGTTTTGGACCGAAGAACGATGAACACGTTTGGCCGGATACATTTGTCGATATAGCTAGGAGCTGAAGTCAGTGGCGCTTGGGTTGGGAGTTACTTTATCCCTTCTCCTCCCTCTTAGCCTCCCCCTCCAACTACGATCTCATTTCAGGCACATAACAATGTTCACCCGTCACCGACAGCTCAGCTGGCGTGTCTCTGTTGTGTCTTTTTCCCCTTCCCATGTATTGTGGTACAATAGGTGAGGTGTTTCTCACAATAGTTTCATCTGTACAGCTCCGGGGGAAATCCGTCTGAGCCAGCAGCGATGGTTGGATCCAGTGAGACGAGCCAGAGTAGACAACAAGGTGTACAGCATGCACAGATGGACGGTGGAGGCCAAATGAACTGCGAATAAAAGCCCTCGGACCAGCGGTCCAAACGCCTCTGTCGGTTGCTCATCGGAGATCCATCCGCCTCGCAAATAACATCACTGACACCAGGCTTCTTGAGGCCAGTGGACCGAATGTGGTGAAAATGCTTGCAGGTTTGGATAGAGAGGGCAGCGGCCTCCATCGCCAAAGCACACTTAGACCACCAAGCCTCGCGGTCCTTGTGCAAATCTTGCTTGAGCAGCCGGTTGACAGAGCGGCACCGCTCATCGCAGTCTGATTCTGCCGGAATATCTCTATGGCGGCCGAACAGTGCCAGAGAGCGATTAGAGATCCAAGCCTTTAAGGGGTGCCGGGCTAAACCAAGGCTTGACTTTCCAGAAGTGATCATACAAGTCCAGTGTTTCTCAATGTCTTGCGGTGGGTTGACACTGAGTGCGTATGCCAGTGAGTAGTGAAAGCTTGCCTGTACCGAAGAATCAGTCAACCTGTTCGCATCAATCTTGCGGTGCTTCGTTTATGGAGACTCTTTAAGACACATACTGATTTCTGAGCAGATCGACGCATGATCTGAGTTAACGAAAATGTACCAAAAAGAACTGCAGTCTTGTACGCTGCGTTGCCATCTGAAGCTGATTGCAACGTGACCAATTTGAGACCACGCTAGTTTTCGCGAAGGGCGACGTTACTAGATGAACCGAGAATGAGTATCTGAAAGAGCCATAGAATATTACAAAATAAAAGTCGCAAAAGGCACTTTCAGGAAAAAGGAACGACATCCTCCAGAAGATTTCGGCGATGGAGAAACCGCGCTCGTAAGTAGCGGAACGTACGAGGCGTGCCACATTATGATCGGCTGGACAAAACAGGTATTGACAAGTTCTTCAGAGAATAGAGAGCAAAGTAAAGCAGACAACAGCGTAACAGCGCGACTCACGGGGACAGGGAGCAAGTGATCAGAGGTGCAATCAGTAAAACAAATGGATGGAAGGAAAATTTGAACAAAATTAAACTCCAATGTCTCAAAATATTAAAAGCGCGAATGTTGCATGTTTGCTACAAGGTAGACGACAGAGGGTGGTACACGACACCTACCAAACACGTCACTTAGACTTAAGTGAAGACGGCACCAAACGCGTCGACAATTTGGACCTCCGGGTTGCCGATGAGATCAAAATGTAGCTCTGCCGATCGTTGCGCAGAATAGACATCCCACGTAGTACGATTTTGGCGTCAGTGATCACTACACTCAATCATGTATCAGTTAGCATGATGAGGTCCCGCAGTATCGAGGCTTGACGCAGCCGGAGCTCCAACAGTTTGCTAAAAAGACCTTCTGTGACAGTGTAAAAACAAGTGAGTGTCTTTTAGGTTAAAAGACAAGTGGAAGCTATAGACAGCAGGTTTAAGACTTGGCTTACCCTTGTGAGGTCGGCTGCTACTCGTTTTGTACTGTCGCTGGTTATCAAAATGAGGTTGGGATAAATTGCTGCACCAAACACTTCAGGTAGATGACCTTGATCGTTTCTCGCAGCCTGTGGTGTCCCGCCGCGTGTTGTGACGGTTGTTAAATTAGTCGCTGCGCTGGACTCCACAATGGCCGTTCACCAAGTTTGCCGCCCCCTATTGTGTAACCAGTAGGTTACGGTCGTGTCCCAGCTGCTTCATTCGAATTTTGGTTGGCAGCCTGTTGTGGGAATTAGCCCAGCTCTTTAGAAGCGTTGGTACTGTTAGCACAGAATATGACACCAACTTCAGCAACATGGAGACTTTGCAATTAGGTGACACAGGAGCCCGTGTCAACGACATTTTCTAGTGAGAGTGCCTCACGAATGTATCTCCATTGTTCCCGGTTATGTGTCCGATCTTCTTCAGAAGAGGAAGCTTGATATTCGGGGACATAGTGAACAATAACGGTTTTCTTACCGTGATTTCGACTTGGTCGTTCGTACCCTCCTAACATTCCGCCCACGGGATGTCCGGTAGAATGTGCACTCCGTTTGGTGCATTGTGGAGTCGAGTACCACATAGCAGAATGGCTTCCGTCTCATCCGCAGAATTTAGTGTTACTCGAAGTAATCGAGGCTCACCATAGTGCGAAGGACGCGCCGACATCCGACAGCCAATTCAGCGCGAAAGGGACAGGCAAGCAGTCACGTGCGCCGAAAGCTCAACATTTGAGCTGAAAGGCATCGATCGATAGACAGGGGACGCAATGGGCTGTCACGACCAATCAAAAGAAATCAGACCGAATAGTTTCAAAAAGTAGTGTGTGAATTTCCCAACTGCCGGAAAATGTACCAACAGGAATCCAGTAGTATAACTGACTTGCAAGCTTCAGCTTAAGTGTGCTAGGCTCACAGTAAACCAGCTGAAGCTGCACAATGTAATACCCAGATTCTCTGGGTAGAAGCATCCCACTGGTCAAGATTCCTATAACTATCCCAGAAATACGAAAGACTGGTGGCAACAATTGAACAAATGAGGAACACCAAAATCGGTTCATTAGGAGAAAGCGTGACAAGGAGGCCCAACCCCCCAAAATAGGCTTAGTTTCAAACTTGAGGAGATTGGGCAGTGCGTTAAAATTGCGTCCCCTGTAGCCTGGAAGGTCACTCAGTGTTTCAATACCACTAGTGGCCCAAATACACCTGAATCAACCATCACAAGCCCAATTTCAATAAGGACCTCTGCCCCCCAAACTGTTTAGAAATTTTAAAACGGGTGTCGACACGATTGTTGCCTGGAATATGATTGCTGCTGAAGGGGTTCGGAAACTTAGGTCTTCAGTTACTCCCACAGGATCCAAAATAACTGAAGGCCAACCTGCCTCCATCGGGGTGGTCGACCTCAACCCAGGCTGTCCAAATAGTCATTATGAGAGCAAATAGGGTACGATCGGTACTCTGCACTGAAGTTCCAAAATCGAGGTCAAATTTATTACAAGGAAAGCAACTCGATAAGATGGACCAGCGGAGATTCATATGTGATATCCTAGGTGTTGTAGCTAAGTCCGCCAACTTGATACGGGTCATTCGTCACCGAAACTCAAATCACTAAAGTGAACCGAAACTTCCGAGTTGTATTGATTACCCCCAATTAAGCAGCAGCAGTTCTGCTATTGACAACTTGTCGTCGAAATGGGTTACGTTCCATTCGCAACTTCCCGGATATTCCGTGGAGTGATTGAAAACAGATGAAGCATAACTTCGAAGAATACCAGAAATAATCGGGGGCAGTGAAACCCGGGGTCTGTCTCGTCGATACCCCATTAGCTACGCACGATAGCCAGCCGTCTGTGACTGTGTGTTATAGACATGGTGTAGGTGCCTCGATCCAGAAAGTTTGTTTAAAACATTTAGGTGCTTCACTAGGTATCTCTTAATTTCCTCTTACTATTCTTCATTCTTAGAGGGACGTTCCGTGAACTTTGGGAACAGACTTCTACTGTCAATCTGGATGTACAGCAGCGAAGAATCAGCTCAAATGCTGTTGATGAGGAGGATGTGTGGTTCCCACTCCTTGGATTGCAATAATCTCTAGATGTGTATACTCGTCCCAGTTGTACTAGAGAAAGTACCATACAGGTGTTGAATCACCACCTAACTCTAATAAGCAATTAAGGTCCTTCAATGCTTACGAACACGAAGACAAAGTTTACATTGCCCGATTTGGTTGTGAGTTAACCCTATGATAGTGTAATTTATCACTTGCGGTATGCTGATATAAACTTAAACCGCAGTTATCCCCAAAACTGGCAGGTAACTACAAATTGATGTGCATCGGTTAACCAGCATTTAGTCCTTTATTATCGGTGCTTCGTTAATGGACTAAATTGTGAAAAATATTAGCAGTAGGTAAAAAGTGGGAGATTTATGAAGATGATAAAGACATCAGTTTGATGACACACCAGTAGTCTTATCATCTAGATGCAAGCAATTAGAAAATTCGTCTTATACAGCCTTAATGTTTCAGGTACCGTGAAAAATGCGGGGAGATGGTCGAATGCATAGATAATTGAATTGGTGAAAAAAGCTGACCTTTCAAGTCTGAATGTAAAGGAGGAAGTAACCATGAGTTTGGAAACAACAGCGGTGCCGAGTGATGGGGTTAAAAACCTAGAACAAGGTAAAGATACGACAGAGGATTATCATGAGCATGCCGATGAAGATCTATTTTTTGATCCCGACGTAGGAGAGGAAAAGTGCAACGGTGTGTGCAATTCGGACAGGAGGAAACAATGCGAAATGAGGAATAACAACAATGGTGCTGAGACACCAGATAGAAGTGTGTCTGACGGAACGCTTCCAAAGGGCAGCACAATTAGCGACGAGGGAAAATCGACCATGTATGTCGGAAAAAACTACGCAAAGCAATCAGAAGACATTACAATCTACTTGCTTCTGAAGTGTGGTGTTCGTTTGGAATTCTACAATGTGCCCAGGCGATATTACGCATCTGAAATAACTGTCCTGGTTGTGCGGGACACGGGACTCAAACATGATCATTTCAAGCTATTGTACAATAAAGAGCCAGTGAAACCATTGAAGCCTCTGGAAGAGCTGGCAGATGAGACGGGACTAGTGCAACTTGAAATGCAATTAAGAAACCTGAGCGAGAATTCGAAAAAAATCAGGCTAGGAAAACGAGAGGTTAATTTCAAGTCTGGTTTAAAAATCCCCGTTATATGCCGAAAAATGTTCGTGTCCGAAGAACCATGCAGTCGGGAGGATATTTTATCGATATACCGCGATGATGGCAACGAAGAGAAAACCAAAGATGTGTGTATAACCTGGCTGCCCTCGACACATCACAAGTTGTTCCTGGGTGGATATCGGCATAAAATAAAGGATACTGTGTACCATCATGCGTATTCCCAAACACTGCCGAGACCGAGGTCCCCTCCTGAAATACCCATGTTTTCCAGAGACACACAGACATACAAAGTGAAACACTTTGGACAAACAACAGTGAATCACATGTCAACTCAGTTCTCAAAACCGGGGTTCTTCGTATCCAGCGCCAAAGATCAACTGAGGACGCCAGGCCCGTACGAAACCGCGGATGAGTATCTGGCCCGAGTTCTTCGAGACGTGAGTTTACAACTGCATTGCAACACTTTTCAACACTACACAACAGTTGTAATTTCAATATATCTTATATAATAGCAGATTACCGTTAATGTTATTAAAAAGTTAGAATTGTAAGCTGCTCGATGCACAGTAGAACTGGGTCAAAACATTCAGTGGGAAATAAGAGTACTTGTCCCAGGTGAACGAAAACCTTGCCTTGTTCCCGTTCCACTGTCACAGGTAATCATCATTCAGAAATACACGAGACGATGGTTGGCCAAAAGAAGAGTTGACGAACTACGACGTCTGCGCGATGCCTATTTGGAGTGGGAGAGGAAGCATGCACAGGCGATGGAAGACCAGAAGGCAAAAGAAATAAAGTTCGACTTTGAACGTCGCTGCCACCCCAAAACGCAAGGCGATTTCGATCGACTATTCAATGCGCTACAACAATGGAAAGTGGAACAGGTGGAAAGAATAACGGCTACAGCAGCAACACCTGCTGAAAAGAAGGCGGCTCTAGCCTTGTTACTAGATCAAGAAGCGGGGCTAATAGCGGCTATTGGCCAACATCAGCTGTGCGCCTCAAGGAAAGGAAAAGAGAGAGCACAAATGAATGCCCTGAGAAAGGCTGCAGCACCCATACGCTGGCTGTCTTCTATCAATGGCAGAGGGTTGGAAATGGAGACTCAACAAACAAAGCGTGCAAAGGAGTTACTGGACATGTGTACCTCCCTAAGCATGAGATGCGTTAATCCGGAGGAGAGATTGGACATATTGCTTACGATCAAACGTACAGTGCGTCAATATCCGTACAAAATTTGCCAAGAATTATTGCAACTGATCGAGCGCGAAGCAGAACTAATCTTGAGAGGAGTGCACTCAGAACAGCTCAGAGGGCTAAGACAACGAATCAATAACCAATTTGTGAAATTCGCCAAAATACCACAAGTGAACCCAGAAATTTCAAAGTATATAACTGTGCCCACAGGCACGAGGGAAGAAGTGGCCCATGAGCTAAAAGGTGATGTACACTACTGTATTTCATGCGATCGCTACTTAAGAAACACGGCTTTCCCGCTGAGCGCGCGTGCAAACCGTTTGACACCTTGTAAAGAATGCCGGCGATTAGATAACCGAGCTAGGAAACGGCTTGATCTGGGACCATACGAAAGAATCCTCAGTGAACTGCGGAGGAAAGAGTTGGAACTCACGGAAGAAGCGCGAGAACGTGCACGAGAAGATATGAAAGAAATGGAACTGCGTCTTTTGGAACAAGGCGAAGCGCCGAAACGGGAAATAGCGACAACAGGTGGTGCGAATTTCAATGTTTTGAATGTAAATCCATTTACATTCCTTGTAAACGAGGAAGATATACGTTTTCTTGTGGACGATGTATGGGAGCGTCGTTCCATACTGTCTGGATGGTTGGACATCACGGATTTAGTTATAACTCGTTGGCGACTGAATGAGCCATGGTCGCCGTGGAATATGCTGGTTGTTACACGCAAGGAAGCCGAGGCCCATGAAAAATTAGGCAACTTTCCACTGAACTTAGCATACGCGGACGCAATGATGAATAAGGTTAACCAGCGACTGATAACTGGCCGAAATGCATTTCAGCGCTTGAAACAGAACGGGATTAGAATGGCTTATGAGCAAGCCATTAGGAGTGCAAACCAGAAAAACCCACAACAGACGCAAGAGTGGGTCCGAGAGAAACGGCAGCGACTGCCACCACTTGCGCCACATCACACCTTGTTAGAGCCAGCAGAAGAGCGTCACAGGCCAAGGTATCAACCTCCAGACCAAATGCTACCAGTGATTAGGGGGGAAAAATTGATGCGAGAAGTGCAAGCCGCGGGAAATTGAGTCCCAGATGTAGACAACAGAAATCTTCCCAAAGAATAAGAGCTTGCGAACCAGCGTCATGACGTTCAGGTGATTATTTTGTTCCCGAAGGCAAATAAAGTAATTTTAAAATTCCGACAGTAACTTCTGAATCGACACTGCCAAATGCGTAAACGAAAGACTACGAGTCACCAAAAGAAAGAACGACTGAAGGCTGTTAGGGGATGTGCGGGAGAAAATCGCATGAGTGGCAACTGCGTTGAATATCATGGGCAGGGATCTGTCGGGATGCCCCTTTGGCAGTTCGTTAGCCGTTTGGCGTCTCAATATTGTGATAGGTATACTCGTTCCTTGAAGTCACGATGATAGCTGTTCTAGCGATGAATCGGGTAAGCTAAGGAAATAAATTCATACCAATCGCTTGGCTGATCAGTTGCAAAAGTAAACCGCTGATCGTTATTGCACCACTTGCCTCATGGCTCAAGAAATGCTGGTGCCACGCGATACAGTCCAGGTGTTTGTTTAGGAAGTCAAGATAAAAGTCAAACTTCTGATTTCAAGCAGTACGGGCCAGAGCCCACTATGGTAGCCGAGGACACGCCTCTCGATGATCACATAGACGCGACCTATAAAACCAAGGGAGCTACTGGCGTGAATGTGCTGATGGGTCGTGAACAAAGTTGTACCCTCTACAACCGGCAAGCTAAACCCGGCACACATGGATTCTTTGCGGGTAAGATGAGTGAGCTGATCGGCTGCTTCTGGTTCCTCCGACTTCAAGTGTCAGAGTCAGCAAGTGGCTGGTGATTCTGAAACAACAGGTTGAAAGTGTGAATCATATCCAGAAGAAGAGGCCAATCCGGAAGTAAGGAAGATTGCGTCTCTTGGCGGTCGTTAAACAGCGAGCCGACGCACAATTTTCCCGAGGACAGCAGCCGAATCACGAGACTCTTTATAGGAACACTCGGAATGGGGAGACGACAAAACAAGACAGAAACGAGACAACCATGACGAAAGTCGTCTGTTGTCCTTGGTAAGTATCACAATTTGTCGGGGACAATGCACGATGCAATCCCAGGCATTCGGACACGATGCACATGAAGTACCGGTACATTTCATGGGAGCACAAGTCCAGGCAGGCATTAAGAGTAAAATGGAGAGAAAAAATGAACCAAGGAACACACACAGTTAGCATGAGGTACGTGTGGTGTTGTTCTAGCACTGGCCGCAGAGCAGAACTATAGTCTGGGTAACCTCACCCCGGTTACAAAGCTGACTGATCCTCTCCCATTTGGGAGTATCATTCCGCAGTAAAGTAGAGGATAGTCATTTTCACTAGCAGCGTTATGCTGATATCTCCTTAGTTAGCAGACATTGCGATTACTACTATTGGATATTGTGATATATAATGGATTCGTACTCAGGTGACTGGGACGACCAACTCCCTGCATATTTTTCCTTGTGGGTGGGCTGAGTTTTGCAGAATTCACCACCATTCTTATACGGTGAAGAGATCATATTTAGATCAGTAACACGGAGAAGGCTGAGAGATGCGACTGCGTTTCCGGTCTTACATTCCGTTGAAATAAAAAAGTAAGAAAGGCAACAGCAAAACGCCGGTACGCAGTACCGATGCTTCGCTGCCGCGCAACCACCACCGGTCGCCCTGCCCCTACGCAGACTCGAATCTGCGCCGTCAGATTATAAGACAAGCTCGTTACCTTTAGGCTACGGGCCGGCATACACCGTTGAAGCAGCTAAGTTAGTTGACCATGGCTCAACCGGCGCAGCCTAAGCACAAGGTGGCGCGAGGGCAGAGACAAATGTACTGCAACTGAAAGTGATTTGCCCAACCAGCCAAACTGCGTTTCTCATTGCAATGCAGTGCACTGTACTGTCTTGATGAAGGATGGCATCGTGGGATTAATGGTGTGGATCATTTCGAAGAAATTGCGGAAATTTCTCGCTGCACCTGCACCCTTCATTTCATGAGCCCATCAGGATGCTCATTTGCCCAAAGACCCTATGTCAAACCGTGCCTGGCAGACCAGAGGACTGCGATGTTATTAGTGCCAACATGGAGCAGTCGTCTGGGTTCCATTAAGCCCTACGACCTATCAGATATTTAGTGTTTCATGGGTCAGTGACTACGCAATAAGCAAAAGCTCCAACGACGTGTCACAGCAGAAATTCTACTCGGCCCAGAGTAGTTAGGTGTGAATTTACAATGCAGGATACCTTGTGACGCTTGTATAACGGTGGGCTGAAACAGCTTCTCAGTTGTCTATCGAGTGAATCATATGCGGCAAATTCATGTAAAGTTCGAGGAAAATTGGCAGCGTACTAACGCACTGTAGGAGTTCAAACGTGTGTATCAAACTGAGTGACAGTCGAAGATGGGATCACGCCACTCGAAGCATATAGTAATGTGGCCAGTTTGGAACCATCGACGGCCGGTTTGTCGGAGGACCCCAGGTGGCATATAAACAACCAACACGCCCGATGGTAATGTGGTTTCGAAACGGCAGACGGTTGGTGCACAGCAACAATAAATGCTCTCGATTATCCGTGTGCACACATCACCAAACTTGATCTCTGGAATGCTTGGGTGACCCACTTCCATAGTCACACATCTTGCATCCTAGATGTTGGAATTAGGCCGCATTATGCCAAGTATGTGGATGGTATATTTGTCAACACCAGTAGTGCGATAGATTACGGAATTAGCAAAAACAAAGGAAAAGAGATCATCCGGTGCTTCGTTATGCAGAAGCCTCATTTGACGTTCTCAAATGAATTGCACCGGATGGAGGAGGCTTGAATTCAACGAATTAACCAGCGAGGGCATAGCCGTAGTGGTGAGATAGCAGCTCACTCCAGCCTGCTTTGTGTGCGTGCCACAAAGGCGACCGCAGAAGCGTGCAACCAACAACGAGAGGGTAGGCGAGGCGCAATGGGGTGGATGACCACATGAGAGCCGTGGGGTCTATTTTCGGAGACGCATTACAGACCAAAATTAAAGACATCCAGTGTGTGTGTGTGCAGATGCGGCGCGTTGACATCTGCGTTGGACCCCTTGGCGTCGGATGTCACCAGAGAAGCCGGGAAGCGCAACCTAATAAAGGGTTTTCTATGGTAGGTGAGGAATGGATACGATGGTGACGTGGATGAAGGTGATAGCTTCCGTAGAATTGCAGATGGTTTCACATAGGCCATCCAGTATGCATGGTCTGCAGCAATAGTCTACGCGATTGCCAATGGGGGGGGAGTAAGATTGGCATCTGGCAGAAAAGTCAGAGAACAAATGTGTGATGACTCTTGGGTTCCTGTTTATTGCGGGATCATGGTAGATGTGCGAAATGAAGGGCAAACAAAATACCCAAAATAAAGGGACAGTTTTATATAAAAAGTTCTATATAAACGAAGTTAACGCCCAAATATCAAAAGACGAGCATGTACACATGGAAGACAGCTGTACATCGACCAGAATGGTGTGGCTCGTGTTGCGAACTGACACACGATGTGCACACTAGATGGAACTGGAGCAGTTTGCGGATGGTGTACCATATCACAAAAACTGCTTCAAAGTAACCGGTCTTCGAACTGCGTTCGAATAGCCTTCACGGAAGCGATAGTAGATTGTTTGGCCCAGACAGCTTTGGTGATCAACGGTGGTGCCAGCTAGAATATGTGTCATTAGGGAGTAGGAAATGAATGCAGACAAACCGCTCGTCTCCACCTTTTGAAGCCTTGATTTTTCCTCTACTGGTCTTCCAAAAAAATCTTTCATTATCTAAAAGGAACCGAATGAAAAGAGTCATTTCGGGCTAGCAAGGAATGACTAGGAATAAGAAATCTGAATTGAAAATAGGTCGATCTACAGGTAGAGTATAGATATACAAGCAAAAACAAAAAGTTACGTCAAATGTTAACAGCTTATTCAAATGTGGTCCCGAGTGGACTAAAATAATCTCCTCGTAAACGCTAAAGTTGCATCATGGAGTACAGCTCACAGACCAAGACAATAGAAATAAAGCCGCTAACCTTTTTAGAAAACGCTGGTGTGCCGGCCGGAGGTTCGATAGGACCAGTCTTAACAAGAGGTTCAGAAACCGGAGGTGCCAGTCTGTCTCCGGGTGTAGTCTCGGTCCATCGCAATAAACGCGCTGACCGCCTAACACGCTCCAGATTAAGTTCACGATGGAGCAGCTGTTTGATTGCGTGTGGAATACATCGCATAGGACTGCAAGTATTTCCCAAGTGTGTAACCATGTCTAGAGGACTTGAGATGAGAAAGAAATGGACTGCACTGACGGACAGGAAAAAAATCGTTAGTGATCAGTCATTTGATTGTGAAATAGTACCCATACTTATGAACTAGAAGTGATTAAAAGTAGAAGGCGAAAAGAACCCGTGGTGTAGGAGCGCGGTGTCCATGCAATGCTAGGCACTACAACGTAAGGTGGCGTGATCGCCATTAGGACGAAAGGAATATCAAACAACCGAAATGAGGCAAGCGCAAACAACATGCGGATACTATCAATGCGACCAGACAATCTGATTCCATAGTTAAATAGCCACCATTATCATTAATTTTGTTACATCGTCGCACACACAGCCGAGTTGACAGAACTCAATGAAATCAAACAGTGTGAGCGGAAGCTATTTTGTTTCACCTGACAGGGCTAAGATAGTCGTCGTGGCTTGTAGATATTTATTTAATCAGTGGCCAATCCAGAATCCCCGTGACCTCCAAAAAGGCATCATCGAAAGTAGAGTACAAAGAGAGAGAACAAGAGAATCAACCGTAGCTACAAAAAACAGACAGACGACTTGACATCAGCAGTAGCCACTTGAACTGATGCTTCGCTGCCGTACAACCACGAAGAACAATAAGACGGAGAGAAGGGGGAATTACTCACACCTTGGGTCAACAACATACCGTCACAAAAACCTGACTATCATGCAAAAACAAGGCGGGATCAGTAAGATAGCTTGTGGATTTCATTGCCTTGCGTCATAATCAGACATTATCCCGCAGACAACTCAGCGACTAACACGCTTTAAACAAGCAGTCCGACTAGCAGACGGCAGCAGACGCGCCACTGGTGCCGACTACGAGCCATGTCCCGTGAAGTCTCCAGCCAAGCTAAAGGCGAGTCACGTGTACTCCAGCCTGATAGACGACACGGACCAACAGCACCAAGTTTTACAGTCAGTGACTTCATTACAGACTGCCAAATGAACTTCTGTCCACCTTAGCAGCGTGTTTCAGGTCAATGTCCCCACGAAAGAGCTCTATGGTTCTTCGTACACGGTTTTAACTATGATGGAAGGTGTCCTGCACGCAAAGGGAAAAACTTCGTTATAACTGAACACAAATGAAAAGAATTCCGAATAATGATAAAATTCGCCGTTACTAATCACTTTTACTAGTCAATCCATTAACAAAAATTAGTGACACCAACAAAAAGCGCGCTAATGAAGGATGATGGGAGGCCGTAGGCACGAACACAGATAAATGCGATTTGCACTTCAATTTACTAGGACAGGCGAGTGCAGGTCCGTCTGAAAGGGTCTGGTCCAATAAGGTTGTACCGAATAAGATGAGTAAACACTCGATTTTGGGCGTTGCTAAACCCGGACAAATGACACCAGAGCTCAGTCAGAAGCTCACGATTGACAGATGTGTGAAAATAAACGGGAGGGTTGTACATCCGGTACGAGTGATGTAAAGCATAACCAGAAAATGCGCACCACGTAGGCGAGGTGGCCAAGAGGATTATAAACTCAATGCAATGGTCAGGTTATCTACAAAAGTAGGGAAACAAGTTCCGCCGTTGATATCGATTGTTGCGCGTTAAGTGAAAGGTTACTGTGACAACCTCGGAGATGATATCCAAATAATCGTTGTGTGGTATCCTCGAACAAAGCCACCTTTACCATAGGCCTACCATCGTCGCAATCTTAGACATTCGTGCTGCATTCGACTCGATTGATCAACTTGCGATATGGCGTTGGCAGAAAAGTACATCGCAACCCTGCGCACACCCCATCCATGTGTCAGGCAGTATGAGGGTCTATCGCAACTTTCCTTCGTCCTTTGTTGTCAATAACGGTGCTGCTGAATGTCTCTGTTCCCCTTCAAATATGCGATTAAGGACGTCTTGTCGAAAGCCCTGAAAGATTACAGACATTTTGGCCTAGAGCTACTACCGGGTATGCGAATGACTGGCTTAGACGATGATATCGCCTTACTTTGTGACGACTCGCAGAGTATGCGAACCATCCTAAACAGTTTGGCGCTTGACGTATTTAAGCATGGGGTGTGCTTCGTCCCACTGAAGTGTAAAGTGCTGTTTCAAGATTGGCACTAGCAAGTGCCCGTGCTCACTCCTGAACGTACACAGCTTGAGCAAGTTGATAGTTTTATCTACCTAGGCAGCTGCATGTATGCTGATGAGACTATTGGAAAGGAAGTTTCTCTTCACGCACCAAAGGTTGGTTGGTGTTTGTCAACCTGAAACACTTGTGGCGTCGTCGGCATGTCTCCATCCTGGATTGCATTTACAACGCCACCGTTCGGGCGGTGTTGCTATGTGGATGCGAATGGTGGCCAGTCCGTATGGATAGCATGCGCCGGCTCCCGGTCTTCGACAAGAGGTGCTTAAAGACGTCTCGTGTTTTAGGAAATGCGAATATTCCACACAACAAGCTGATTTTGCATCGCCAGTTGAGATGGCTCGGTCACGTCTTGGGCATGTCACCTAAGCGTTTGCGCGCTGCGCTCTATTAGCTCGTTCAGGACAGGGCTGCAGGTGTCCGCATGGTGGTCAACCTTCCACTTGGCGGCATCATACGAAATCGTTGACTAGATATGTTGCTGCCGCTGGATGCACACATTTGCCTGGTTGGGAACCAAATGACGAAGAGCGTCGTTGGCTCGGAACAATATAGGATTTGGTGCGCTATCGAAACCAGTGACAAATCCGTGTAGATACCTGTATCCATTCAGACGCTCAATGCCTAACAATTGAAAGAGAGAAAAAACGTAAAAATGGCGTGTGCGAAATAAAGAATGTTCGGTTATTTTTGCGATACAATAGCTGAAATGTGTTGACTAGCTAATGTGCCATGATGGTGATGGTGATTTTACCTGTTATCCGTTGATTTCCATGGTTTAGCTTGTCTGGCTATTTATTAGGCCGTTGATTATATATATATATATATATATATATATATATATGTACATATATATACGGGCTAACAAAAAAGCACATGAAAATCTTCCACTTAACAGAATAAACCAATACAAAGCGAGCCGTTACTCCAAGTAATCACAGATGTACTTCAAGAGCAAAATAGAAGAGCTATGAAATATTAAAATTGCCATAAACACTGACATCGCATCGGTTCAGACAGGTATACGATGTATACTGGTTCCAGTAAAGAATAGTGATGATAACACTTTTGTGCTACGGTTGGTCAGGGTATCTAGAACAACGTAGAAGGAACGTGAAGTGTGGCTGACGATTTCGGATACTAAATGGTGATGAGAGTTTAATAAAGAATCCAGCGAAAACTAGCAGGATTTCGACCTGGCTGAAAACAGGCGACTATATCGATTAATAAATCAGTGTTCTGGGAACGACAATTTTGAAGGGGAAAGGTAGCGTTTGCCATCTGTAAGAAGTGTTCACGCACAACGATGGTGCCAATGAAATCGTCCTGGACATACATCTCAAGATGCAACAGAACAAGTCAGGTCAATACTCGGTGTGGAGGAACACTCCCTAAGTACCCCAAGGTAAAGAAGTCTGGTAACGGACTCCACCGATTAAAGAAAGCGGGTTGGGTGCAAAACATCGAAGATTCCGTTTAAACAATTAATCCTTGGAACACTGCCCGCTGGCTTCCGTCTGTCGAAGCCTCGACGAGTCAGTGGCAGTATTCTACTAAGTGAAATGCCAGCAAGGGTTGAAGGCCTTCTGGCTGACATAGCTTCAGCAAAAGAAGTTCTACACCAGAAGCGGTTGAAACACCAGGAATACACAAATAGTAGTGCTAGTGGCAAAATTAGCAGAAAAGTGGTCCAATGTTTCATGAAACTGATTGGGATTAACGGGAAAACTTTAGGGACGATTCAGAGACGCCAGTGAATAAAGGTGTGCGGAAAAATGGCGAAAAGCGCTCAATTGACTTTCAACTGCACGGATCTCCAAATAACTGTTGAGGCAGGATATTTAGTCGAAATGGAGCAAATTAGGTATGGCTAATATGGCCACGGGAAGGTGAAAAGATGTATCTCTAAACTGTTGACCGGATACTGGAAACTCACGGCTCCAGTTGAAAGTCGATTTCACCAGTCTCAGTGTTCGGCTGCGGTGACCAATCGAGCCCCAGGTTGAGCATAACATCGACGAAGTATTTAAGATGAGCTTTTTCTTGTTGGCTATACAATTGAGCGTTTAACGAGCGCACATTTGAAGAGATTTGTGACAGCAAACTGATGGCTAATGGGGCGACATCCAGTACGAATGTTCGGCGCGGTAAAAATCTGATCACGAATGGAGATGAGACATGATTAGGCGCAAAGTAGACCGCTGTCAAACATAAAAGGGTTTAGAGTCGTATACGTTGACAGAAAGAACACATATAATACTAAGGTCACTGAATAGGGCCGCGAGTAATCGCTTTGTAACAGAGCTGAACAACGGTGTGTTTTATACGCGGTTGGCACAGTATAAAAGGACAGCAGACTACAGTGGCGATTAATTAAGACCACCAGACGGAGATCTGCGATTGCGCAGACCTGGCGGATTAACCTAGAGAGGATGAAGCACAGCTACAAAGGTAACGTTAGGATGGCAGGACGTAGCGTCGAGAAGCAGTAAACAAGGCAGTTGGAAAGGAAACAAATGACGTATCCGCACAGAGAAATATAATATGGCACCGGACAAATGCACGACAATCTTACGCCTCCAAGCTCACATGCATACCAAAATGGAAGCCACACGAAAGGTGCGGCTGACCGAAAGCGGCCAACGGTTCCACACCCAAGGTTTGAACTCAGAGTAACTAGAAATGTGGATGTGAGACAATGCAGATGAAATGAAGAAAGAACGTGGAAGATGAAAGTCATCGTAAAGGGAGGTCGTACCTCAGAAATCGGTTAGACAGCTGTGATCCAGACATTGATGCAAGTGGATCAAGTTGTCAGAACTTACGTCGCCAGAAGGATGAAAAAAGTGTGTAAAATAAATTTGGATGGTATAGTAACGGTTAGATGAAGAAACCGAATGCAGGAACACCACTGTGCATGACTGCACCATTTTCTGATAGGATCTCCAACTCTTGATGTGGGCCACCCCGAGTCTCCATCCAAGAGGATGGCATATAACAGCTTGACCAAGTCTCTCAGTCAATTTCTACATGCCTTTTCGCCACGTCTTCCACTGGTCACATCGCGGTTTCGCTCAATTTGCTGCAGCCATGGCATATAATGCACGGCGAGAAAAGTAGTTAACGGGCATACGGAAGACATAACCTAGCCTTTGGAGTTGTGGGATGGCAGTAACCATCCCGGTGCCCCACCCTGCCACAACGATGCTGGCGGAAATTGCAGTCCCAGTGGAAATGCCAGGCACCGCTATCGACACGCGTAGGGTAGGGACTTCGCTCGGTCGGATTGAGTGGGGCGCGCGGACGACATCGCCCACGGTGCTGTGACTGCATGGACCATACCAGGTGCGGCGTCGTTCAGGATCATGGCAGGATCGTGCCTCCGGTTAAGCAACGTTTGACACTCCTCGGTTAGGTTCTGGAGTGTGACTGAGTTATCCTGCTGTAGCTTCAGCAGGAGGCGCGTCCGGATATCGGCATCGTGTGGAGACTGGAGGCCAGAGACGAAAACCAGGCATTTGAATTGGTCCTCGGAGAGTGAGCCAAGTTGAAAACGTTGGCATTCACGGTTAACCACGTCCGCGTACGTGATTAAATCGTCGGCATCACGCTTAGTCAGCTGCAGACATTGATAACGTGCACTAAACAGAAAGGACTGTTCGCCAATAATCTAGGACAAAGTTCGAACTGACCTCCCAATCTGCGTGCAGCTAACTGGGCAGCTGCACTGCTCCGTCTCCTTCCGAGGTGCCAGGTTCAAAGAGATATGCCACATCACGTAGGCGAAGCTCCACCTCCTTGGTCTCGACTGGCTCGAAACTCTTGGCTTGGCCGGCCTTCCTCTTCGAACCCGCTGCAACGCGGTACATTCCCCGGTAGTACCAAACGACCGAACGGAAGACATGAGCAGACAGTTCGCCCGGTATTCCAGGATAGTTTTGGCCGCTGTACACGCACCCGCGTCGCGTTACAGCTCGTACCTGGTGCTCAACCGGTATTCTGTCCCAAAAGGCCTGTCCCATACGCAGCCTTACCCTTGGTCGATGCCGAACTCCAACTTTTGGAAGACATGGGCGTTCTGGTGCTTGTGTCCTATTTCGCCTGGGCAGCGCCGATCGTCGTGGTCAAGAAGCCGAATGGATCCCTCCGCATCCGTGCCGATTTCTCCGCCGGTCTCAACGCAGCACTAGAGCCAAAAGGCTACCCGCTACCGACTACGGCAAACCACTTCACAATACTCAAGGGTGGCACGTGTTTCGCTAAAATCGACGTGGCAGACGCCTGCCTGTAGATTGAGGTCGTCCCTGAGTCAATAGCACTCCTGACGATCAATACGCATCGTGGTCTTCTCCAGTACACCGACTCCCGTTTAGTGTCAAAACCGACCCAGCCATTTTCCAACAGACGATGGACGATGGCATTTCGGGTACGGCCGCGTACCTGGACGATCTACTCATTGTCAGTCACACCCCAGAAGAGCTTAGAGAGCGCCTGGTTGCCGTCGATCAAATACCTTGGTTTTGTTTTCGATGCCAATGGTCGTCATCTTGATCCTGAGGACGTCAGAGCCATCCGGCAGATGCCAGCTCCAGCGGATGTGTCACAACTGCGGTCCTTCCTGAGTCGCATCAGCTACTGCAGCGCCTTCCTGCCATCGCTACACGATGTTCGAGCCCCGCTCAGTCGGCTGCTGCAGAAGGACGTTCCTTGACACTGGTCCCCGCATACAAGAAAGCTTTCGTTCGCCTGGAAGCCATGCTGAGTTCTGACGTACTGCTGACCCACTATGACCCAGGCTTGCGGATTTTGGTCGCTGCTGACGCCGCTGCTTATGGGATCGGCGCAGTTCTCCCCCATCGATTGCCAAATGGTTCCGAAAAAGCTGTTCGGCACATTTCCCGCATTATATTGGCTACACAACGACAGACTACTGTCGGAGCCGCTCAGACGCCGCCGCGTCTGCAGAAAATGCCTTAGCGACGAACAGGAAGAATCCGGAGGTCGCCGAAATCCATCCAGGTCAATCCTCGTCAGAATCGGTACGCTTTATCTTCAAAGGGAGGTGTTGCGGGCCCGTCAAATATCCCCGCAAAAACGGGCCACAAACTCCGGCGTAATGGCTGTGGAAAGCGGAGTTCAATTGCTTCACCCAACATAGCAGATTTCAGCCACTCCGAGATGCGGCACAACTGCGCACATATTGACAATGTTCTTTTACAAACTACCACCCCGTCGCGGTAGCTATTTTCACTAATTTAGTGACCCATAGTATTGACTGTGATTCGCCTTTTGTTGGTCGTAAAAGAACCTTCAGAGGACCACTTGTCTTGCTTTATCTTCGCCGTTAGTTGGGAGTCGGTTCGTGACAGCTGGGCGAGAAAGCTGAGTGCAAACGCTCGCACGTTTGCCACCTATCGTGTGTGGGAAAGTCCCTGCGAGCGTGTTAGCAGGATACAGCCGAGAGCTGATGAAATCCCGCGTCAGACAGCAGGCGTGTCGCCAAGGCCTGACCGGAAGCTGATGAAATCACGCGTCAGACATCACGCGCGTTGCCGTGCGTTCCGTATGCGGACGAAGACTGGAATGCGCGAGCAACACGATGAAGTAGATAGATGGAGCGGACAAGTATGTGTGGAGCGTGGGCGTATAGTCAAATCCGCATTGTGATACCGACATATAAATATGAGCGTTCTTTGCCCTAATAGAACTCCGGTCTGCTGAGTACTCTTCTGTCTTCCTTCCGGTCGGGTTTGCCAAGGCGTTACACAGAGCACGCGTAAGGACGCAGATTTAGCAGCAGGCGTAAATCAACCGGTCGCTTGCAGGGCACAGCGTTATAACAGTTCGGTCACGTGATTTTTGTGTGCGTCGATAGCCGGGCAGCGTTCGCGTCTAAGGCACTAGCATGCGTCTACCGCCATCCCCTCACTTGTGCGTAGCCTCATCCGTTACGAGGGCTCAGCGTCTACCCGAATACGTGTGACTAAGAGCGCTCTCACGCAAGCGCGATGTTCCGCCTCATCACCGCGTATCCCGGGCTAAGCTAACGCCATCACGTCAGCGCAAATCTGTTCCATCGGCCAGCGTTCCAAGCCGTTATCGTAGGCGTGCTGAAACGGTGCCAGTGACAATCGTATCAGGCTCAAATGTTTATCAGAGGTGTCTCCCAAGCTTAACACTTGCAAACCTCAGCATTGCATACTGGGTGTTCCCACCAGATGTGAGCTACACTCCGTAAGCACCGGTGGCCAAACACGGCCAAACGTTTGACACCTTCACTGCGAACTGGCCAAGTCTCTGACTCATGCAGTAACACCAATCTTATCGCAGCCTTATACACCCTACCCTTCAGTGACAGATTGATATCCCAATGTCTTCATAAAGGATTGAGCCTCTGAAGAGCCAAACAGGCCTTACTGACATGCGAAGCATTCTGTTCAGTAGTGTGTCCACCAGAGGTGAGAGAGCTATCAAGGTAAGTGAAACGATCCACCACTTACACTGACTATTCGAATTTATCCAGAACCGGTGATGGCGTATCGGTCCAATAGTGCAGCAGTACTTCACACGTTGAAAGTGCAAAGCATATACGGAAGCGTGCAGCACTAAGCGTCAGCCTATTCGTTAGTACATGCATGGCCACAAAGTGTGAAGATGTGAAAGTGGTAGAGTAACTGGTGAAAGGGGAGAATAATTCTTTTGTGTTTGTCGCCTCGAGTGTGGGACAAGTGGTAATGAATAGTACAGATTGTCTTAGAAATCCAAAAGATATGTTGCGGATGTAAACGGAGGAGATGTGAAATGAAAGTTTATGACAGTAGGTACTATGGTCTAGATCTCGTGACAGTCATTAGAAGAGGAGAATGAACAGAACTTAACTCAGCGTGGGACAGTATTGTAAGAATGGGAAAGTTGAATTCGCATTATGCACAGCCAGATGAATTCCCCAATGACTCTAGACTGCGGCTGAAAATGAGAAGCACAAAGGAACGGGACAATTTTCATATTGATCTATGTATATCCGAAAGGTGCCAGATTCAAGGTGTTGAATTTCCTCCAAAGCTGTCAGATAAGACAGATGGTGACAGCCGTCGCAATATCGCATAGAGTTCATCAGCTGGCGCGATCGGATGAGGGAGGCTTTCGAAATGAGTTAGCAAGTAACGTGTGACATCACCGCCCGAAAACCGAGTGCATCAATGTAGCCGTCCCCAAATGTAGTGATGTGAAAAGACATCGTAGTGGGATTGCAGCTTACGGAATAAAGGTACGCATGGTGGGAAAAACTTCATCGATGTGAAATATACGGGAGCAACAGTGGGCAAACATGCAAAGTGAGCAGTGAGGGTCAGGATAAGCACAGCGCAACAAAATCCTTACAATGGCTTGTACAGACCAATACAGCATACAACCAGGTTATTTTTGCTTGTCTACAGCAATATGAACCGACAACACAGAGCATACCGAAAACTGCTAGATGTACTAATCACTGCAGCATCCTCCCGAGTCGTTCGTAACGTGCTGGGCGCCATTGACCACTGATTGGTTAAAAGCTGATCCAGAACCGAGTTGCACTGAGACTGCTTTGCATTCGCTTCAGAATGCGTCGACGGCCAACGTATGCCCAAGGATTTCGCGCCGACCCCAGGTGCCGAGGAAAGGCCCAGGGGTGTAGCAAGTGCCAGATGGAACCAACCAGGAAGTATAGAAGGATGGCGCAGCAGGCTGTAGTCAGAATGCGAATGAATACGCTTAAATAGCCTATCGTGATAGATGAACCATTCGGAAGCTCGGCGAGCCTGTATAAAAACGGAACAAGAATAATGCGAATAAGTAGAGGAAGTTACAGGTCTTTTGATAAAAGTACTGCGTAGCGTCCATAAATGCGCTGTGCACATAAAGCTGGGAGTGATAATCGCGTGTGGTTTGATGTGAATGAATATCAGGGGAGATGTCTGGACCGAAAAGGGACATAAAGAAGACCGGCAGAGGTAGCTTACACTAAGAAGATGCGTAGCAAGTGCTGGAACACTCTTGTCCAACCTCATCGATAGAGGTTGAATGGAATAGGGTCCGACTAGCAGCATATATTCGGAGAAAGATTGTGAGTTTTTCCATCTGCAATGCAGAGCGATTTGCAACAGACCGTGTGACTGGAAATTAAAACCATGGATATTCTCAACAAAACTACCTGGTAAGTAGATCGAATTGCCGTTTTCTGATGGAAAGATAGCGAGACAGCCGGTCATGCGCCACAGTCGAAGCAGAGGGATAAGAACAACCTACGTAAAAGCACTCAACATCTGTCTCTAACTGTTCAGGCTCCAAGCAAGTAACTAGCATAATTGATCCCGTAACGAGAGGATTCACAGCAGGAGGAGTTGAAGGAATGGGTTCATTTGTGGTACTCCACTGTTCCTTATCCTTATTCGTCTCACTGTCTCAATCTATACTTAAAAGCTTCCAATCAATACCAACTAAATCAGACGCCGTTTCAGAATATTGTGGAAAACCTAGAATGGAAATTCTCAACTGGAGTATATTAGGTGCCTCAAGACAATCAACACCGCAGAAGTCCATGTACTGTACACACATTTTACGCGAGAACGAGATCACTCGTTAAGGATCAACTTTGAAGTTGGTGAAAACTGCAGGTTTGCGAGTTTCGTAATACTTATGTCATGCACTCACGGCTGGTATACTCCAAGAAACGAGCTCAAGCGGGTTGCAGAAAAGCACACATTTATTCATTAGAAATTAAAATGAAATAAACACCCGTAAGCTAATACTATATGCTGCGAATTGACTGAGAATTCAGAAGCAGTTAGGATTTCGAAAGTTGGGTGACGTGTAGACATTCATGTTGCTATCCAGCTTTAGGTTTTATTGCGGCAGAGAACGAAAATGCTGTGCACAAACAAGCCGGTAGACGCCGACTGTAATGCAGCTATACTGGACCCAAAACGCGTTATCACCATGAGGCACAACAACAAATGCCGCCCGGAACTCGTCAAAGGAGAATAGACGCAGACGTTAGGGATGGAAATATCATGATACTAGAAATATGATAAAATGGAGAAAATAGCAGAACAAAAAGTCAGCTGAGACGTGGTGCATGAAAAGCGTTTAAGAAATGGGAGGCGGAAGCACGAATTGTGTCGTAGTTCCCGATCGAGCTAAAAAAGGAATGGGTCTTAAGACTGGTGGAGCTGAACTAGTATCCACCATCAAGAGCTTAACAATATGCGCCAAATACACACAGTTTTTCTAATTTTTCTTTCTTTATGGTAAGTTACCGAAGACCACTTTAGCACTTCATGCCACAGAACACGACAAAGTAGCCGATCAGCAAGTATAGGAATAATGTGGTCCAGCTAAAGTAGGCAGTTCAAGTACGGAACGCAACCTACTCCGATGTTAAACACCAATTGGCGAACATCAGAAATGTGCACCCGATATTTCCGCTAGAGTAGCACTCCGAAAGAAACGACGGTCAAGGGAGACCACAGGCTGAATTGTGGTGGCGTGCACCGAGCTACTGAGTGAACGTGCCATGTCAGAGACTAGTGATTGAGATGAACTGTTGAATACTCTCAGATGCGCCGAACTAGTTGTTGTAAGCATGGCATACGAGCACACTGTGCTCATCACTTCTCCACACAGTAAACAGAGCGCTCAAAAATGGTAAAAAACGAAAACAGAACTTAGGTTATCGTCATAATCAGTGGTAGTGCATGAGTATCTTATACTGATGACGTCGCATCAAGACGCAAAATCCTTGTCAACAACATACACACAGATATATTATGAGAAAATAAAGTCAACGGGACTGAATGAAAGCAGATTAGACGTATCCTTGTATACGCTATCAAAGACAATGTTGCGTGATCCCTAGTATGACAGAGACGAAGGATATGATAATCTGCATCGGCCCACTTCGGTGTTTAGAGAACAAGTGATAACTGAACCGAATTTAGGTGGCAGAGTTGCTCCAAAACGAAACACAGCTACTCGGATGGGAGCGGAGAATGAAGCTCAGCGCTATCTTATGACTAAGATCCGGACAACACAGTGAAATGTATCCAGCTGGTTTCACTTGTGCCGCAAGCCGAGAAGTTACAGCGGTGAAACGAAGAGAATAAGAGCCAAGGGAGGGAGATAAAAGTGAGGCGCTGAGAGAACGAAGTGGTAATATGCAGCAAAGGAACGAATGGAAGGGTGCCACTGTAATTTCGATCGCGCTATCCACAAGACGGAAGTCAACCACTAACGTCGTTAATCTTGAGGCACCAATCGATGGGAAAAACACACCAGTGCTACAGTCTTAGGCCAGGTTTCTTTGTGCCATTTCGCTACTTCAGCAGCAAGGTTTGTGCGTCAGTTACACAACATGATTTCCACCTAAGATAAATCAGCCAAAATAGTTAAGGTATTTTGCGCAAAAATATAAAAAGGAAGTGAGATAGCTTCGAAGCAATTTTAATGCGGTGGATACATCGTACAGAGCAATCTGTAGATTCTCATGTAGTCCAGAAGACTATGCTAAAAGGAATTCAGAACGACCAGTCTTTCACTAATGAGTGGATTCACGAACAGGCAGGGATAAATAAAGTAAAGAGGATCAGTTGCCGGTAGGCTTGAGAACAAAAAAAATCGATAGAGTGAAAAATAAGAAAGGAAGCACATAGAATACTGGGGGTGGGGATGCGTATCCAGATGATAGGTCCCAACAGGATGTTCCGAACGAGGAACTACGTTTTGGAGTTTCTGACTAACAACTGGTGCAAGAGTCTACTGTGCGTGGTGGTGGGGTTTGCCTTGGATGTGTCATTCGGTGCTCAAGGTCCAACATATATCCCAATGAATAGGGAACGCGAATTGGCACAGCCAACGGTGTAATATGACGTTGATTGAGAAACATAGTGGGATGCAGCACGATGAGGGGACGAAATATGTCACTGATGTACACACCACACGACCGGAGCATGACACAACAAGAAGCTGTGGACGATGCGGATTTAGCAACGTTATATCGACCTGGTGATGGGAATTGGGGGCACACATGTACCAGTACAAAGCCCTCGTATTCACCTAAATGCAGTTTGCTCGTTTCTCAAATAGCAAGCGTGGGGGCAACGGGGAATGATGAGCTATGTACACAGAAACAAAATGGATAATGTTAGAGGCTTACCACATTCAAACTGGCATCTTTCATCCGAGTATTCAAATAATTCTCAAAGATGCCCATTGCCACTGTAGTCATATCACCGGCAGCATTAGCCATATCAAGCACGTAGTCCAGACTGAGAAATCGTCATGATAGGGAAGTGGAAATTGGAATGAGGTTTCACAGTGGACGTTGTCAAGCAACTAAGACGCTCATTTCAAAAAGCCACGATAATCATAGTGCAATTAGTTGAGATCGCCAAATAGAGTGGATCTGACTTAAACCCATGTGAAGCATAGGCTACTTAAGTTCGGGTACAAAGCACAAGCGATGCTAGCTGACGAAATGGGGCCACATGGGAGGCGGTGGTGATGAAGCAAGTGCCGTGGGATAATACGTTACCAGAGGATCTGAGGTTGAGTTCGCAAGCATCGGTGCAGTGAAAGAAGGATGTAAAGGTGTTTAGAAAGAGGTGGACAAGACAAAGCACCAACGCAGTGGGATGGTACACGCGCAATAACCTGAATTTGAGGGAGAGGGCAGCACAAATCGCATAGAAGCGTATGCACGTATGGACATGAACTAATTACACAGGTTGGCGAAAGAGAAATATGAGGTTAACACCTAGTCAAAATGCAAATTAACAATAGAGTTGCGTAAGACTAAGAGAAGATGAGTGAAACTCACAGAAAACCTAAGACCCGTGGGTATTACGGAACGGAGGTGCTGAACACATCGAGAGAATGAAGAGGTGGTGAGGAGCTAGTGTTCAGCGTTTTTCCTCTCAAAGCAATCTGCTTCTCGCCCAGCTAGTGAGATCCGTACACAATACTATTCCAACAAAACTGGATCATTTCAGTAACTGGGAAATTCCCATTTCATTATCAAGAACAAAAGACCGAAGGTAAACAATTGTTTTCGATGATTCATCTTCAGACCCGTACAATCATATGAGTGAAATAGCAATGGGCGTAAAAGTGGATTAACGATCAGTTCAAATGAAATTGATCACGTGCCGACCAAAGGCATGAACCAGTAACAAACAGCAAACTAGGACAGAGGTGCAGTTGCACAATTGCAGTTGCTCTCAGAAGGATCCGTTTTGGCTGGTCAAGGTAGCTTAACAGCTTCGATCAGCTTCTTTTGTGCACACAAAAGTGGTTGATACAACCGAATGCTGATTGCCTCGGCAGTAGCAAGGGTGCGGAGGCGCAGGCCTTTCGACTGGAGTGGAGGGACCCTGTATAGTATTCGAAAGGCACTGACTGGGTCCACCTCATGCCCACTCTCAACAAGATGAGCCATAACAGAGCTAGTTATAGCCGCAGTACCGTATCGACGCAACCAGCTTGGTAGGTGCTCCTTAATGCGCTTAGACAGTTGCCGCGTCATTCGACCGATTTAAGTAGCGCCACAGGCGCACTCGAACTGATCTATCACCATAGAAGCGGTCAGCGTCGGTAACTTGTCTTTGTTGTGAATGCGAATGGGTAGCTCCGTGGAATAGGTGCACCTAAGCTTGGCTGCTGGGAAAGTCGACTTGACAGCGGTTGAAAGGCTTCTAGTTACACGCTCAGCAGCGGCGTCTCCCTTGGAGGGTAGTCGTATGAAAAGTTCTTTTTTCTCTGCTGTCCGAACCTGCAACTGGTCGGGCTTATTTTGCAGGTTCCTAAAAATAAAACGATCAGGATATCCGTTTTCGCGCAGCAAATTCTGAATGAACGTCAACTCATTATGCAACTTGTCTTCAAAACAGATCCTGCGGGTCCTTGTGGTTAAACAGCGAATTAGGTTTCGATTATATCTCAACGGAACGAAGCTGTGAAAATTCGTATACTGACCACCCCAGGTTTTCTTCCTGTAGACCTGCCATTGGATCGAGCCGTCTGCCCTTCTAGTTAACATCAAGAAACGGCAACTGATCGTTCAATTCTTTTTCGTAGGTAAACTGCAATGATGCGTGGGCCCGATTAAAACGGTCAATAACAGCGTCAAGGTCAACAGACTGGTCGACCAAGACAAATATGTCGTCCATATAGCGGTAGTAACATTCAAAGGCCGTGCACAAAAGAAGCTGATCGAAGCTGTTAAGCTACCTTGACCAGCCAAAACGGATCCTTCTGAGAGCAACTGCAATTGTGCAACTGCACCTCTGTCCTAGTTTGCTGTTTGTTACTGGTTCATGCCTTTGGTCGGCACGTGATCAATTTCATTTGAACTGATCGTTAATCCACTTTTACGCCCATTGCTATTTCACTCATATGATTGTACGGGTCTGAAGATGAACCATCGAAAACAATTGTTTACCTTCGGTCTTTTGTTCTTGAAAACTGGATCAAGGACATAGCGGCAAAAGCGATAGATGGTGTGGGAATGAAAGATAAAAGAGCCAATGCGGTGGTGATCTGAGTGACGACGTTCAACGATGTTGTTAAAGAATCGGCAGCCCCAAAACAGAAATGGTACATGAGCTTTGTAAGCACGAGCTGAAGCTCACCGAGCCGAGAGAGAAGCGTCGCCGTCACTATGCGAACGACCTGAGGAAGTTTGGCCAACACGGTTCCCTTGTATCCCGCACCGAAATCGTGTGCGTCTTTCCATCAGACCAGTCAATAGTCTTGGAGCGGGGATAGTGAACACGGCCTTCCACACCTCGAAAAGGCTTCTTTGCATGTCCTTTATGCCGCCCGCCAGACCGACAAGTGCAGAGGTATCCTCTAGGTATAGCTTTTTTGGTTCACAACTGGAGGAGTCGCGTGCAAGCTGTGAGCTGAGGAACTACAGTAGCAAAAGGGAAGGAGAATGCAGAGAGCAGTCGCATATTGATAACGGCTACGAAAATCAATCACGCAAACCATAATGGGTAACTAACATTGAAAATCACGTTTTCGCTCGCTCAAGATAAAAAAAGCATTCCAGAATTGATGTGGTTGATACGGACTGTGCAGCTTCACCAGGAGAAAGACTCGATCATAGATAGGCGATAAACTGGAGAGAAATCCACCATGTCGTCGAGTGGAGTTTCGTCCGCAAATAGCCGGTGATAATTTAGAAGTAATGATCAAAAAGTGACCGTTATAGAACAAGGCATGTAGATCGTTTTAGCAGCCCAGAGCAATATGAGGACAGAGTGAAGAAAATATGGGGGTATTATGATAACACATACCTGCATTGCATTCAGGCAAGATCGGATGTCTCGATCGCACACTTCGGCCAGATGCATTAATAGAAGCTTGTCCACGACAAAGTTCTCTTGAAAAGCGATCCAGTTCAACCTAGCGACCAGACGTCCTAACTCTACATTGGGAAAGCGTAGAACCAGGCAAGGAACACCAGGCGCGCGAAGAGGTCGAACCGACGAGGAGTAACTTTGTTGAAATCAAGGGAAATATGACGAAAGAGCGCTTGTGATCACCGATGAAGCAATAATCGTGTGTTTTATGGAAACCAGACGCTGAGTTAACGATCTTAACTAGAAAAGGTCGAAATAAGCCGAGCAGTAGGGCACAAAAACAGTCCGCGGGGTAACAGACTGATGAATGGCGGAACGGTTGTGTAAGGTCGAGATCTATTACGAGAACAGAAATCCTATAGGACATTATGGCGCCGGATTCGTAGTGCGAAGAAAAGATGAAAGAGGTACTAATAGAAGTAAATGAAGTGTCGGAATGAAACGCGTTTGATGAGATTTATCGGCACGGTACGTGGGCAGTGAAGTCAGTGTTGCCTTAAAGATGGATAGGTAGAGCAAGGCAGTCAAGTAAAGTCAAAATATGCTTTATGAGCGTGACTGTGAACATGTTCAGCATTTTACACTAGCACTGCGGATGTAGTGAGGCAGAACGTAGGCATGGAATTGCAATAAAAGCCTAAAAAGAAGAAAACGTACACGCACATCAGTTAAGTAAGCGCTCATGCGTGGTGCTGTTAAGTTCCTTGGAGTCCACAAGAAAACGGGATAAATACAATAAGGCAGTGTTGTGATAACGTGTTGTGCGAGAAAACAAAAGCCTAGATCTAGTGTGGGTAGAGGAACAGGAGAATGCTTTAGCTAAATCAGCGTGAAGGGGTGAAAAGGGTCATTTAAAACATTTGCTGAAAAGTTTCACAAACACTAAAGTGCTCAGTAACGATGAAATTAATCAGAGATTCTCCGGATTGGGAAATGGACTTAATGGAACGCACAATCAATGTGAAGGCTTTTGGTAGAAGACCAGAAAAAATGATAGGAGCAATATAACCAATGGGTAAGAATACAGGTAGTCACGAATTTGTAAATTAAAGAGCAGGATACTAAGAGCACTTTGAGTCTAAGGGCATAGAATAGTAATTTTCGCACCTTGCGGAACGTTCCATCAACATGTGTTGACCAAGACAGATTGTGAGAAATATACACCAAGGTACTTAACAGTGATATATGTTGTTGATATGTTGATATGTTGTGGTCGCTTACAAGAATGCGGCGAGGTGTTTGCTGCAGTCAGATGTTCGTCCGTGCAAAGACAAGAGAGAGTTACATCGCGGCATTTAGAAGCGTTGAGGATAAGAGATCAGGAAAACGACAACAGCGGAAGCTCGTCCAACCTGATTTGCATAGTCGCTGATGATTCCGCAAATTGGAGCAATGCTGGCTAAGACAACGTCGTCAACATACTTACATCCAATAAAGTTAGGGGGAATTGGAAACATTTCGATGTATAGACAGAATAGAAGAGGGGACAGGATTGCTCCCTGTAAAACACCCAAGTCATCTCTAAGAGCATGGGAGTTTTTACCGTTTGGATGAGTACAATGAGATCGGTTCACGAAGTGGTTGCTCATCAGGTTGCACACTGATAGTTTGATACCATTCGCAGCCAGCTGATTAAGCACTGATCTGTCGATACTTCCAAAAGCGTCGGTGTAATCATCCGAGACTGAAATTGTATTTAAGAGCAAGAGTACAACTCTAGCGAATTATGCAAAATCAAAAGCATTTGATTGCGAATCGTCAGCGGTAGCATTTGGCCAGTTAATCGTTTACCCGTGTTCGATTAGCAATTCGTATTATTGTCATTAGTTCCGTAAATAGGATGTATATTTTCCATTGTATGTGCACCGTTTCATAAAAGCACAGACTTCCGAAATAATCGTCGATACGTGTTTTAAAACACGTCACAGAATCGGCCTGCATTAGTCCTCTTGATAGCGTATTACATAAGTTTACGATTCTTCGTTCTAGACAAAGCTGATGTGATAACTTGTTTATGCAGGGGATTCTGAGTTTGTAACCGTGTCCTCGGGTATTACAGGGTTCCCGCAGGTGAAATATTGACCGCTAGATGGGGAAGTGAACCAAGTGTACTACTCGATTGGTCATAATAAGATGAATTTTTACTCGGCGGTAGGATAGTGTGTAGAGTCCGAGCCTTCCACAACGTTTTTCACATGGAAACTTTCGTAGACTCGATATCATTCTAGTTGCGTTGTGCTGTATTTTCTCCAGCTTTCCACTGGGTTATCGGATGGTAAGCTGGGGTGCCGTATTCAATGATGGGTCTAATGAACTAGGTGAATAGGCGAGGGACGGTTTCTTCAGACCATGTGGAGAAACTGCGTCGTGACACCCAGAATACACGAAGTCCCGCACGGTACAATTTCTCTGCATTTTCTAGTATATATATATATATATATATATATATATATATATATATATAGCATTGGGAAACGGCATGTGGGGAAACCAAAGTTACGTTACCAGGACATAATCAAAGTGAGCCTCTCACGTTCTAATCTTGATTGCAGGTCATGGGAATCAAAGGCGGTTGATGGGCGTGCATGGCGCGATCTAATCACGAAGGCAGTTGCCGAAGTGCGGGAGAATGACCTCATACATGCAGAGAAGAAGCGGCAAGCACCGATGGGCTGTACTCCATCGACATCGAGCGCATGGTGCTGTAGCACATGCGGTCGCGAGTGCCTGAGTCAGGCAGGCCTAGTGAGCCATGAGCGAGGCCACTCGGGACCACTACCGAAGCGACGACGGGTCCTGCAGAGAACGTAGGCAGAACTAGCGCAGCGTTTGTAGGTACGCTGCATTCGATTTACTAACCGCGTGCTTGCATGCTAAGTCTCTTTATTTCAGGTGGTGGGTTTGCAGTTTTATCCTAATGCTTTTCTTTCTCACATAAGTGTCTACCTTATACTCCCTGCTATAAACTTGCACACGTCGCTTAAGCCAATTGTAGTCGATTTCCATAACATTTTCGTCTTCCTGGCATTTCCGTAAAGTATACTTTCTGACCTCGTGAACTTATCTAGGATTCGTTTGTAAACAACTTATTTCATATGCTCATTAATTTAGGGTTTATGTCACCGTTTCCTTACTCGAGTTATTTTCTTTGTATCTCTCTCTCTCAAGTGATTGCCTGTTGCTCGATATCCCCGGTGTGGCTGCGCCTGATGTGCATGTTGACAAGGTGCCTACCTGTCTATTACCCACTACCTCGTCCATACTGGCTCCAGGAGACAGTTGGTCGTTACTGGAGGGGACGGGATGCACGGTCCTTGTGGCCGTGCTAGGCTCGAAGAGTGGTTCCATGCACTCAGTGTGGAGCGGACTACGGTGCAGCCACTGCCTTGTGTGCGCTTGATTTCCAAAATACAGCGTGCTTGTGTTTGCCTGTGAAGGAGTGTGGGCCGGCTCCGTTGATTAAACGTGGCTCCCATCCACATGCCTCTCAGTCTTATTCCTTCGGGTTTACACTGAATATGGGGTGTGTGGTTGGAGCTGTGGGTGTTGCAGCGCAAGCCATCCATGGTCCCTCTATAGGCGCAGGCGTCCTGTGGCTTGCCACAGTGACAGGCAAATCCGAAACCGGATGCCGCCAACCATATATATATATATATATATATATATATATATATATATATATATATATATATATATATATATATATATATATATATATATATATATATATATATATATATATATATATGTTTATTCACACTCTGTTAACAGACACTGTGCCATCAGAACCATGGCAGAAGAAAAAGGTGAAGAAGATGTGAACATGAACTGCGATAAAAAAATATGGGAAACGATTTGTTGGATTTACACACGCCAATTTTTTGTCTTGTGAGTTTTTGTGTGCATCAAAGGGATGGTAAAATGGCAGAGCAACATTGACGCCACTGACGTCTGTTGCGGGCCATGACGTCTAATGTTTCCAACCACTGAGATTCAGCATCACGTGGTCCCCAACCTGGAAGACGGGCCGGTGCGACTGCCGCCAAACTTAAGGTTGCCTTCCTCATGATCCTTCGCCACGTCATTGGCTGTCCACCGCGGCACCCTTTCCAATCGCTCACTGGGAGTGCAAATAGCGCTCGACGTGAAAGGCGATGGGCTAGCATGCGCAAAACGTGCCCGAGCCAACGCATGCGATCGTGGAGAATAACATCCTGAAGACTGGCACCATTCGCAACAAGCACTCGGTCTAAGCCCGCTGCGTTGCTTACTTGGGGTGTTGCCATCACACCCGAGCAATCCTTCGTATACAGCGATTGTCGAAGATTGACAGCCGCTTCATATCTTCCGAGCAAATAGGCCGTCTCACAGCCGTAAAAGAGTACTGCACGGACAGAAGTATTGTACACCCTGCCCTTGAGCTTGAGACTAACACCACGACGACGCCATAGGTGTCTCAGCTTGATGAATGCAAGGCGGGCCTTTGCAATCCGTTGTGAGACTTCATCTCTAACACCGCCACCAGCCGTGATGCAACTCCCTAGATAAGTAAAGCAAGGGACTTGCTCCAGAACATGTCCAGCAATGGTGAACGTGGGTTCAGGCACCTGCCAGTCCTGGAGCAACGTTTTACATTTTCTCGGAGTGAAGCACAAGCCGTACATAGACGCTTCCATCGCCAAGCGGTCCAAAGCGCTCCGGACGGATTGTGGGTCGTCCCTCAGCAAGGCGATGTCATCGACGTAGTCCAAGTCCGTGACTTTGTCTCCAGGGAGGAGCTCAACACCGCAGTCCTGGACACCTCCCATTGCTCTTTGGAGAACATCTTCGATGGCGAAATTGAAGAGGAAAGGTGAAATAGGGCAACCTTGACGAACACCGCTGGTCACAGCGAATGAAGAAGAGTGCGTGCCGTAAGCCCTGACTTTGCCCGACGTGTGACTGTAAAGTTCTTTCAGAATGGTTATAAACTTGTCGGGCACACCTTTCTTCAGTAAACAGTTCCACAACGCAGATCTATCTACTGAATCAAATGCCGCTTGGATGTCCAAAACACTACGATTGTTGGTCGCGGGTGGATGTGACTAAGTTCGAGAACTTGCCGAAGCGTAAAGATTTGGTCGGACGAAATCCGGC